TCATGAGTTCATTCACAAGCCTAAATTAGAAAAGAAGCAATATATAAATATATATAAATGAGGAACAGCAGCGTGGGCGTGACACTACTCCACTTGATCATCAGTCCCTTTGACACTCGGTGTGATTCCTGGTGGTCGAATTGGATCATCCCGTACAAGGTCTGGATGGCCACCACGTCATCCTCGGCCAGCTCCACCTTTCTGGTCGCGTGCACCACTTTAGGGTACATGACGGCATCCTTATCCGACGAGTGGTCGAGGCCGAGCACGTGGCCGATCTCGTGCGTGGCCACCGACTCAAGGTCCACCGCATCCCTGTTGGAACGCTGCTCGTGCAAGTCGGTCGACCATCTCTCGGCCGCGTCCAGGTGGAGCCGCCCATGGTCCGCATGGGCCAGCACATTCAGCACCCCGTCAAACGGGTTATCGTCCCCGTGGTCCCCGCTGTACCACCCGATCTTCACGTCCGCGTTTTCATAGTCCTCTGTCTCGGTGAAGGTCAAGGGGATGTACGCGCACCAGCGCCCGAACGCGCGGGAGAACACGGCCCGCACCTCCGCGGGGTCCAAGTAGCTGATCCCGTAGTCGGGAGAGAAGGCGTAGCTGATGCTGCTCTTGTACCAGCGTAGTTTGGTACTCTCGCCCAAGAAGCTGAAATGGGACACGTCGTTCATGAGGGAATGACGATCAAAGGGGGCGGGGGAGGGCGAAGGCGAAGGCGCCGCCGGGGACAGCGGGAGAGAGGATAGGCAGACTAGGGAGAAGAGCAGCAGCAATAGTGATGATTTGGAACACATAGTTATATTTATTTATGCCGATCGATCGAGTTTAACTTACTAATTAGATACGGGGATCAGGAAACAAAAGATACGGGAGGAAAAATTATTATTATAGCTAGTAGGATTATGAAATTGATATTTTGTGCAGAGTAACATACATGGGTGATGGGTCACTTTATATAATTATAGGAATTAATCTTTTTCCTAATTGTAATAGGAACATCATATTTAACTAGGAAT